CTGTCGTAGATGAGCTGGATGGCCAGGTGGCCCGTGACCTGGCCGCACGTGTCCTCCAGCTCATTGAGCGTTACGGACGTGTCGGAGCTGACGGAGTCGCAGGACATGGCCCGTTTGAGCGTCCCCGCGGTCACGCCCGCTTCGAAGGCCCCCGCCAGACCCGCTGAGTTCGGGGGCGTGCTGGAGTAGCCCGCCGAGCTCGGGGGCGTCTCTCCGAACACGGCCTGCGAGGAAGCAGAGTTGGGGGGCGTAGCCGTCACCAGGTCGGCTGAGCTCGGAGGCGTGTCCAGGGACAGTCTTCGGCTCGTGCTGAGAGTGAAGACGACGGGCGACAGCGGCGACGCGTCGGCGGAGGCCCTGCGGCTCGAGTACAGGTTCCGCAGCCCCGTCGCCGAGCTGGGGGGCGTGCTGGTGGAGGGCGGCCGCGAGCCGTAAGGGACGTACAGGCCCGCCGAGCTCGGGGGCGTTTCGCCGGAGAGTCTGGCCGCAGAGTTCGGGGGCGTCACGGGGAAGGCGGCGGAGGGGGGCGGCGTGCTCATTTGGCCCAAGGAGTCCTGCCCGATACTGTTGTCGTCGGGAATCTGCCGCAGCCGGGCACTGAGAGACGCGATGTATTCACGGACCCGCCGTGTGCTGGCGTCCTCCTCCTCTTCCTCCTCCTCCTTCTTCTCCTTCTTCTCCTTCTCCTCCATTCCTGTCTCCTTCTTTTCCTCCTGCGTATCCCCCCGCGGCGATCTCTCGCCTCCTAAGACACTTTCACTGGTCTCCCTCCCGCGCTCACTGTGAGGCCGCACTAAAGGCTGTGTTCTAGGCGTGTCTACTGCGTCATGGAGGAGCGACACTTCCTCCTCGACGCCACCAAGGCCTTTTCTGTCCGCCCTGCCACTCGCCGACACCAAAAACGGATTCTTTCCTCCCTCCGTCCGCCGCCGGTCTTCGCCCTGCGCCCATCCCAAGGACGCTGACCGCTCCTCCTCCTCCTGCCGCGCCCCTAGGAGCCCTATCCTCGCCTCGACCTCCGCCAGGCGCGATGAGATGTAGGGCGAGGGCGAGGAGGAGGGGTCGGAGGTAGCGGTGTTCGGAGGCGTCGCGGGAACGTCTCCGACGCCTCCGTAGTCCGATGGGAGAACGGGGTTCCTCGAGGGAAGGATCAAACCAGGAACCGCACCTCCAGAACCCCCCATCTGAAAGGGAAAAGCGAAAGGGCTCAAAGCTCAGGGCTCTTTTTAACTATATTCAACCGTACACGAGTTTAGTGGCATGTCTCCCCGTCTGTCTCTCTTTCTTACAAATGTAAGTGGTAAAATCCCCGATTCGAGTGATCCTAACCCCTTCCACATGAATGAACCAGCCAAGCCTCCAAGTTGCTATCAGGGAAATTAACTTCTCTCAGCAATATTTATCCGAGTTTCCCCTCGAAGGCAGTACATGCTCTCTGACATCAAAGTTAATGAAGGTCAAATGTCGAGTGATAATGGCCACTCTTGGAAGGTCGGTCTCTTCATTAGTTGATGGATTTAATGAATGATTAAAAGGCGTAAGATAGAAATTAAAAAAGAAAGAAAGAAGTACCTGGATAGAGAAACTCATCAACTAAATGTGAACAATATAATTAAGTGAATAACAAATAAATTAATGATCAAACAAATAACAACTGTCTGTCTGTCTGTCTGTCTGTCTGTCTGTCTGTCTGTCTGTCTGTCTGTCTGTCTCTCTCTCTCTTTCTATCGATCTATCTATTCATATATCTGTCTATATATCTATCTATCCATCTATCTCTCTATCTCTTTCTTCTTCTTCTTCTTCTTCTTCTCCTCTCTCTCTCTCTCTATTTCTCTCTCTCTCTCTCTCTCTCCGGATTTCGGGTAGGCTTGCTATGTAAAAATGTGCATATACCCCAGAAAGTGGGCCTATCTATACACGGCAATGGAAAGGGTAACATCCTTACCTCTGTACTCGTGGTGGTAGATATCTGATTGATATAGGGCGTGGTGCTTGCGCTGATACCAGTCGCTGCCTCATTGTCGGGTCTTGTGTAATCTGTAGCTGAGAAATAGTTCTTGTTTCCGAAGATTGGTGGGTCTTTGGTTTCATTAAATTTATTTACGAAAGAGTCAGGTTGTAATGGTTTGTAGTTGACGCTGTTATCGTATACTGTAGAGGTCTGACCGACCCCTGCCTGGGATACAACACCGCTGCTCTCTCTGTTGTCACCCATATATCCAACACTGTTGGATACTGCGACACTGACACCACCAACTCCACCGCTGCTACTAATTCCAGCGCCAGAACTGCTGCCAGTGAGATCATTAAGCCACCTATTCCCACTGTCAGTAGCAACAACGCTGGAGACACCACCAGAACCAACACCTTCACTAGTAGTGCTGGTGAACCACCCAGTGCCACCACTAGCAGTGACATTAATGCCGCCAGCCCTGTTCCCGGCACCTCCACCGAACCAGTCAGCGACAGTCTGGCCACTCTGAGTGACGCTGGCCGTTGCCGTGACAGTCACACTTGCCTCGGGCTTCTCTGCAAAAGCTCGCTGCATCCCCTCATTCACCCTCTCGGCACCAGACGGGGGCGCGCCCCTGCCCGGTCCAGACGGCGCCCTTCGAGAAGGGGCGGAAATGGTTTCGCGGGAGACTTCCTCGAAATAAGCGCCCTCGGAAGCCTCGTCGGGGGGAACCCAGGACGCTCTGAAGGGGTTCGTCGACGATCTCTTCGGGCTGCTCTGCTGTGACGACACCAGGAGTTCCTGCGAGTGGAAATTGGGCGCACAAGGCAATCAGCAAGATTCTTAAACATTCGTTTTTTCAGTAGAATACGTTCAGTTGCTAAAAACTGTAATTAGGACTTTATTTCTTATATGTCTGATATGTTTTGAAAACAAGAGTTTGAATAATTACATCTACTGATGTGAAATTTATTTTTGCTGTATTTTGCAATAACCCTATCTATTGTGAATCAATAAAACTCCCTTGATCTACGCACCCGCGTATGTTTAACCTCACCCGGTCCTTCCCACCTCCTATCCCTCCCCCCCCCATTTCTCCCCTCCTTCCATCCCACCCCTACCTCCCCTCTACCCCCACCCCTCCCCTCTCCCTTCCTTTAACTCACCCCACCCCATCCCTCCCCTCTCCCTTCCTCCTTCCCTTCCCTTCCCTCTCCCTCCCCTCTCTCACCTCCCTTCTCCCTTCCTCCCTCTAACTCCTCCCCTCCCCTCTCCCATCCTCTGCCCCGCCCCTCCACTCCCCTCCCCCTCCATCCACTCACCTCCCCCCTCTTTATCCCCCCGCCACGCTCTCACTCACCTTACTGGAATCCCTCCTCTGGATCCGCCCGCTGAGCGACCGGTTCGAGTCCCTTCGGTCCAGGACGGGGGCGGGGCGGGAGGGCTCGGGCGGCGTCTCCACTCCCGCCCCGAGGCCTATGCTGCTGCTGGCGGGGGACGGCGACCCCTCCCCGCTGTCCGTCCACCCCCCAGGCATCCTGCTGGAAGTGGGCGGGGCGAAGGGCATCAGATGGGTGGGCGGGGCGAAGGGCATCGGATGGGTGGGCGGGGCGAAGGGCATCAGATGGGTGGGCGGGGCGAAGGGCATCAGATGGGTGGGCGGGGCGAAGGGCATCAAAAGGACAGGCGAGGAAAGGGAATGGAGAAGTGTGGAGAAAAGGAGGGTGGAAGGGAAGGGGGAAGAGAGGGAGAGGGAGGGAAGGAAGGAAGGAAGATAGAAGGACGTAAGAGAAAGGAGGGAGGGAAGGAAAAGAGGAAGATGGAGGGACGTAAGAGGAGGGAGAGAGAGGAAGGAGGGAGGGGAAATTAAGGAGGGGATAAAGTATAGGAAGGGGAGACAGAGGGGGAGGGATAAGAAGCAGGGAGGGAAGAAAATGAGGGAGAGGAGGAAGTAAGATGAAAAGAGAGGGAAGGGAGCAATTGTTTAGAAGGATGGAGATAGAGGAAATCGAAGGATAGTGTAAGAAGGAGAGAGGAGAAGAGAAGGGAAGAAGAGAGTGAAAGGAAATGAGAGAAGGAAAAAAGAATATAGGGCAGGGATGGGAGAACAAGTGAGAAAAGGAGGAAAGGAGCAAAAGAGAAAGACGGTTAAGGGCGAAAAGAAAGGAGAAAAGAGTGAAAGGAGGAGGAAGAAGGATAATAACGAAAAAAGAGGAAAAGAAGGAAAATATAGTACAAGAAAGGGCGAGTGGAGGAGGGGAGATTAATTAAGAACATAAAAAGAGGGAAGAAATATGAAGGAGAAGGAGTGGAATAAGATAACAGAAGCCGGAATAAGGAAGAAGAGAATCAAGATGGAGAAAGAAGGAGGAGGAGAGAAAGATGATGGGGGAAAAGGAAAGAGGGAGAGTACAGGAGTAAGAGGAGAGACGAAAGATCCCACTTGAAATGGAAATAATAATGAAAATGACAATGCCAATAATAACAATGATAATCATTATGCTCATGCCTGATAATAATGATGATAATAATGATGCTGATAATAATAACAACTGTTATAATAAAGATGCTAATAACACCAGTAATGATAATTGTAACACAAGTGACAACAATAAGAAAAACAGTAACAGATACAACAACAGTAACAATCATGCTAACCATAGTAATAATAATGCTAATGATAATAAAGCTAATAATAATAGTAATAGTAATAATAATAATAATGATATTAATAATGATAATAATAATAATAATAATAATGATAATAATGGTAATAATAAAAATGATAATGATAATGATAATAATAATAATAATGATGATAGTAATGATAATGATAATAATAATGATAATAATAAACAATAAAAAATAATAGTAATAATAATGATAAAGATAATGCTAAATAATAATGATAATAACAATAATAATGATAATAATAATAATAATAATAATAATGATAATAATAAACATGATAATAATAATAATGATAATACTAACAATAACAAGAGTTATAAAGATAATAGTAGAAATAATAATGATAATACGATTAATTATGATATTAGAAAAAGTAATAATATTAATAATCGTAAAAATAACTATAACAATAATAATAAAAAATAATAATGATAATAATAATAATTATTATTATCATTATTGCCCTCCTCCTCATCATCATCACTATCGTTACTATCAGCATCATTATTGTTATCATTATTACTATAATAATAATAATAACAATAATAATGATAATAATAATTATTGTTATTATTATTATAATAATAATAATAACAATAATAATAATAATAATAATAATAATAATAATAATAATAATAATAATAATGATAATAAAGATAATTGTTATTATCATTATCATTATCATTATCATTATCATTTTTATTCTTAACATCACTATTATTACTAATATTATTATTATCATCCTCGTCCTCATCCTTATTATTTTTACTACTATTCTTCAGATTATTATATTTATCATTCTGATTCTTATTATTAGTATCATCATTATTAGTATCATCCTCATCATTACTATCATTTTATTCTTATTCTTATTATTGTCAATATTAGTATCATTAATATCATTATGACATCATTATCATCATCATTATTGTTATGATTATTATCAATATCATTATCATTATTATTATTATCATTATTATCTTCATTTCTATTACAATTATATTCCTCGTTATTATCATTGTCATCTTTGTCACCATCATCACTGTAATCAGGTTTATCACAATCATTATTATCATGATAACTATTACCAATAGCATTATTACTATTATCATTATCCTTATCATCACTCAGTTTAGGAGAAAAAAGAGAAAATCACAACATGATGTTAATAAAAAGCTCTTTACCAGTGGGACGTAAATCAAAGGAGAACAATGTTAATATTTTTCCTTCTTTCCTTTCATTCTTTTATTCTCTCTTCTCTTCTCTTCTCTTTCGTGTTACTCCCAGATGGCAGGGACATAAAGAAACATTGGGCGAAGACATGAATCACCGAGGAAAATTACACAATACATGAAAAATGGGAAGAACGAAAGAACTGAGGTTTTAATGGTCTGCTTTGTACCCGGGAGAGAATCGTGTAACTGATGTGAGGAAAATTGTTTTTTTTTATCATTACTTTTATTATGTATATATATATCTTTTATATATACATATTCTTTTTTTAGATGGAGGTCTTTTTTTTTTTTTTGATTGGTAAGAATGGAGTATACGAGACCGGGAACAGCAGCAACAACAATGTTATTGAATCAAAAATGATATAGCATCAGAAAATAATAATAGCAAAGCATCAAAAATACAACTTGTAAGAAATGGATTACAGCAGAAATAAATAAAAGCAGGACAACTAAAACTCAAATCAAATATAAACCCACAATCTCACAACAAAAATACATAGCAAAAAAACAAAACAAAAAACACACACACTAAACGAAGAAGAAGAAGAAGTAGAAGAAGAAATAGAAGAAGGAGAAAAAGAATTAGATGAAGAAATAAGATTAAGAGAAGAAGAAGAAATAGAAGAAGAAAAAGTAAAAGAAGAAATAGACAAAGAAGAAGAAGAAAGACTAGAAGAAGAAGAAGAAATAGAAGAAGAAAAAACAAGATAACTTCCACACGTGAACCCCGAGCCTCGCACACACCTTGGCGGAGGCGCGGGGGCAGGTCTGAGCGGCTGCGGAGGGAGGTCGGGTTCCTCGGGCGGCCTCACGCTCTCGTCCAGGGTCATCATGCTCGTGACGTCATCCAGGTTCGTGAAGCGCTTGTACGACCCGGTGCGAGGCCAGAGACCAATCCAGTCCAGGTCGTTATCGAACTGGAAAAGAGAGAAAGAGAGAGACTACGTGAGGGACGGTCATGTGGATGGGTGGAGAGGGTGGGAGAGGATAGATGGAGTGAGAGAGGATGAGAGTGAGGGGGGGGAAAGAGGAAGAGGGAGAAGGAGGGGAAGGAAGGAGGGAAGATAGGAGAGAGAGAGAGAGAGAGAGGTAAACAGACAAACAGATAGATAGATAGATAGATAGATAGATAGAGATAGGAGAGAAAGGCGGGTTGGTAGAGTAATGGATATGGGCGGAACGGAGTGATTTGTTAGGCTGGTTGTTTGGATCGTAGCACTCCCTGGTGACAGCTTAAAAGGATGTTCCAATGGATTATGCTTATGTGGAATAGGTTTGAGGGTTGAATATACCCATGCGGATACAAACACATACACATGCCCGCCCGTATGTTGATTCACGCATACAAACACACACAAACGAGGGAACAATTACACCATAAAATGATGTGCGACTTCTCTTTATCACAAACAGGGGAGCAACTTTGCAGTCTAAGATGCTTCAGTTCATTCACAGGTGCGTCCACTGAACCAAATGGAGTTCGGCTGTTGTTGTAATGAAATGTGAGTTGGATGTCCGTAGAGCTTTTATAAGAGACAAAGAATCTCCAATTCCCTTACAGCTGAGTCCATTGAATCGGCACAGTTCGGCTGTTGTTGTAATGAAATGCGGGTTGGA